CCGGGGGGCTCCTGCCCCGCCAGCCCCCGCAAGGCCCCCCCGGCACCGCGCCTGGCCCCATTTCGGTCTGCGTGGGCCAGGCTAACAACGCGAACGCGAACAACGTAAACAACGTTATTGGCCAATCGGCCGGGATACACGATTTGAACGTGACCAGTCAGCAGCTGCAGTTGCAGCAACAAATGGGTCAAGCACCTGGCATGGGTGAGGTACTCACCCCCAAGAGACAGGCGGTCGTTGATCGTCTTCGAAGGAGGATCGAAAGTTATCGACGTAGACAGACTGATTGTATACCGAGATTCGATCAGAGTTTCAACGGTCTCTGCGAGCAGAACATTCAGGATACACTGGTGCTGAAACAACGTTTCCTCGAGAGCAAAGCTAAACGCCAGGCGAAGAAAACGGATAAGAAGCAAAGCGATCCGGTCGGCCTCTCCAGCGTTCACGTGGTGAGTCATTTACTTAGTCTGCTCTACTCTCTTCTTCTGATGCCTTCGTTGGCGTTCGCGGGGGTTTGGCGTAGGTGAACCTTCTTCCCAAACTTTTTATCGTCTCGGTTACCATTACGATACAGAAGATCGCTTTCTTTGTTATACAATCGAATTAGTAGTTGCAGGCAATAACCTGTTACTGAATGCAATATGCACTCAAGGTGGGGTTGCAAACTGTCTCGTCTTCTGAGATTTGCATAGACTACATCTGTCAGATGAGACAGAAGAGGGGTTAGTCTACTTTGCTTATTGATTTTTGACATCAATCGATTGCTTGTCCGAGAGTATGTGTAAAGGGAGATCTCTTTAAGAATATTCTGTGAACACTCATGTCTACTATAGCACTTTCAGTTTAGTTATCTGATGTTCCGTAACGAGTTTGAATTTAAATATTTAATTAACATAGACGATTGGTGTAATGAATTTCCTTAGGATGAGAAATGTAATGGAACGAGAAGAATGCGATTGAGAACATCTAAAATCTAAACTGTGTGTAGAGTATGTAGCGAGTAACCGGCACTCGGCAAGTTGCCGGGTCAAGACTCTACTACACGGCTTTGGAATCGAAGCGCGGGCGTAATGAAATACCTCGACTCTTTGCACCTATCTCACGAGGTTCATTTGCAAAGCACTGCGATGTACTGTTGCCACGTGCTGATAACGACACGTTGCATGCAATTATATTGATATTTTGATACGCGTTAATTACCACAGTGAAAATGAACGTTTCCATTAAGATGCATTAAAACACATGCTAATTACTTGATTATGCAAAATTTGAAGTGCCTTTCACCGCGCGATGATTATAACCGAAGCGATATCCAACAAATCACTACAAAAGGAAAAAGTGATTTTATAAAAAGTTATTTACCGTCGATGTATCGAGAACCTGTTCTCTCCATTATGTCGAGATAGATCAATGTTCTAAAGTACAGTCAGTGGACAAAGGCTTAACAAATGTGCATTTGCATACTTTGTCTTTTTCTATCGATAAGAAACATTCTGTGCCACGATACAGGCTGTGCAAATAAAAATTCATTTCGGATGAGCATTCGTGTTTGGAAACATTCAATTTACTGCAGATTCATGCCCCGTATATGAAGTTTCGAACACATGAGTCATCCAATTAAACGCATAATTTAGCGACCACGTGTAGGCACATACAGTTCTATATGCAAATGCCAATCATGCGCATTCGTATATGAGGTTCGGTTCATTGCCACGGATTGTTTAACCCATATTCTTTTCGCCAGAGAAAGACTGCACCTGAATTCGAAAATTTTTACAGTAAAATAATTTTAAAGAAGACTTAAAAATTTACGTAACTACTATTTATCGCTTAAATACCAAAATAGCAGGAAAAAGAAACCTTGTCTATAATTGTTCCATGCAAATCTTCAAGTTCACCGGTTACATTTGAAATTCAATTAAAATTCGACCGTTCCGCAAGTACGTACTATATCCATTACATTATTGCACTTAGGTAAACGAAAGGAGTTAAAAGCGAACGAAAAGAAACGGCATCTAAAATATTTCGTACACGTTCAAATAGTCGCGTGTTCACCGTTTTATCTCGCTATAAATAAATACCTTGCTTTCACGTTTTACTCGACGTTTAATTAACGAACACACCTATTCTCTACACGAGTTTCAACTTTCACGCGTACCTTTCTTCCTCCCCTTTACTTTAATTCGCTCTATCAAATCGATCCAATTGCACACCAACTTAAATAAAAGTTTCGCGAGACGATAATTTTAACCGTCACCCCTTTCATCGATGCCGTCTATGATACGGAGCGACACCGTAAAATACGCGTATACGATAAAAGAACGATATACTTTATCGAATAAACCACAATTATACGTACTTTTTAATTCGTCACAAAAGTGAGATCATTGTTTCTTTTCCCTCTTGTGTGCTTTCTGCTGTTTCCATTGGCGTAGTCAGCTGTTTTTCTAGTTTCACTTAGGGTAATAATTCAGTACTCTGGGAATTTGGAAATTTGGGGATTTGGGGATTTGGGGATTTGGGGATATGGGAATATGGGGTTTTGAGGATTTGGGGGTTTCAGGATTGGAGGATTTGGTGGTATGGATATTTGAGAGTTTGGGAATTTGGAGGTTTAGGGGTTTGGATAAATGGGGATTTGAGGATTTGGGGGTTTGAGGATTGGAGGATTTGGTGGTATGGATATTTGAGAGTTTGGGAATTTGGAGGTTTCGGGGTTTGGATAAATGGGGATTTGAGGATTGGAGGATTTGGTGGTATGGATATTTGAGAGTTTGGGAATTTGGAGGTTTAGGGGTTTGGATAAATGGGGATTTGAGGATTTGGGGGTTTGAGGATTGGAGGATTTGGTGGTATGGATATTTGAGAGTTTGGGAATTTGAAGGTTTGGGGGTTTGGGTAAATGAGGATTTGAGGATTGGAGGATTTGGTGATATGGATATTTGACAGTTTGGGAATTTGGAGGTTTGGGGGTTTGGGTAAATGAGGATTTGAGGATCTGGGGGTTTGAGGATTGGAGGATTTGGTGGTATGGATATTTGAGAGTTTGAAAGTTTGGAGGTTTGGGGGTTTGGGTAAATGGAGATTTGAGGATTGGAGGATTTAGTGGTATGGATACTTGAGAGTTTGGAGGTTAGGAGGTTTGGGAGTTTGGGTAAATGGGGATTTGAGGATTTGGAGCCATAGAGATTTGTGATATAAAGGGTTGGAGTTTGAAGATTGTAGGATTTGGTCATATAGATATTTGGGTGTTCCAGAGATTGGAGGTTTGGGGACATGGGGAATATTTGGATTTGAGGATTTGGAGACATAGAGATTTGTGATATGAGGATTTGGGGCTTTGAGGTTTGAGAACATAGGAAACTGGACACGTAGAAGTTTGGAAGTTCAGGAACTCGAATACTTAAGAAAGTTTAGGACTCTGAAAATTTTGAAATTTCTAAATTTCGAGTGAAGTTAATAACTACGTCAGTGGCTGTCCTCGGTAGAGTAGATACTATTTCACATCGCAAACTGCGTGTGCGAAATGTTTTGTCAAAGAGAAATTGAGAAATTAATTTGTCCCGTATAAGGTCGCGACGCAATTATGTTAACATGTATTTGTATAAGCGGTAGATATACTTATCGCTTATCGCTTCTGCAAATAGCACATCAATGCATTATTTTTACAGCTTCATACCCGACACCACAAATCGAATTACACAAAACATTGTATATCTCTTTCTTAGGAAAATTTGAAAAGTTCATAAGATTCTTATATATCTGAAGGTTTAATATTGTCTCATTAGTAATTTCAATATTTGTAATTAAGTTGTAGGAGTCAAAGTTAAGAGTCAACTTATTTATACTTAAGAGTTATTACGTCGTTGCAACGTGGGGTGTTCCAGTTCGTGCGTAAAGAACGAAACAAAAAAAGAAACGAAGGGTTGTAGAGGGAAAAAAGGAGGATTATTCACAGCTCGTTACGGCAAAGGTTATCAGAGCGCCTTATGAAGGTCGAAATAAACGCATCGCTTATAAGTTCGCGACAATGACGTTACACCGGTGTAGAACGCCCCTGCATTGACGTAAATCCAAGGTTAATATGGGACGTCTCGAATCGAACGCCTACAGGTGAGCGACGTAGACAGTCGAACCTACATCGATACTTCTGTTTCGAGTACTCACCTGTTTTCAATCTCTTTCACAAATATTAAAAATTAGAGTTCCATCGTCAACCATATTTTTGCATTTTTTTTTCAAGTATTTTTTTTTATTCTTCATTTATTTCTTGTTAGAAACTTTTCTAGAAAAGAAATTCTGGAAATACACTTATAGGTGACATTGAAAAAGTATTACATTCTGTTGATAATTTTACCTTATTATGTAAATTAATATTTACCTGATGATTATTTTACCTTGTTATGTAAACTGATATTTACCTGATGATTATTTTACACGTTACACATGTTATTATGCATATGTAAATTAATATTTACCTGATGATTATTTTACCTTGTTATGTAAACTGATATTTACCTGATGATTATTTTACACGTTATACATGTTATTATGCATATGTGTATTTATACATTATTTTATTATAATGCATAATATTGGTACATTTTATTATTATATTACATGTATAATAATTTTATATATTTTTGCATTATATTATTTTTCAAATTTTTTGAATTATCAAATTTTTTTACGAACATGTTTAGAAATTAATAATTCGAAAAATTCTTATAACATCTATATATAATTATCACGATGAAATTTTACATTATACAATATTCCACAATATTTGTGGACTCCAAATTCAAGCTCGTTAAAAAGGAGAACTAAATTCGTCAATGGCAACATTTATTCCATGCGTTTCCATGTTATTTCGCTCATTCATAATCATGGCGATTATGATGCTCGCTGTGAACAATGAAGAGCATGAAAGACTCATACTCATAAACCACAACGCAGGGAAAGTTGTGGGAATCGCGATTTCCGTTGAGAAGTCGACTGCGGTGAACCAGATTCTTCTTAGTCTTTCGTACTTTTAAGCCTTCCTCACGTGTTTTCGATTTGTGCATTTTTGAAGTTAATTCGTGGGTTGATAAATCACGCTTTTAATTGACGTACAGCTGGCAGGGTAGTTAAAGGGTCTAAAATAATTGGAAACACTTGGTACCTCTAAATATCGAGCATAGATTGTTATATTTATAATAAAAAAAAATTATGAAGAGTATTAGGAGTTCTTATGATGTATTATTATTATTAGTAACATACTAGTCATTATAAATAAAAGTGTACTTAATTAGAAACACTTGTTGGTACTTTTAAACATCGAGTATAAATGATTATTTAAATTTAAAAAGAAATTATGAAGACTATTAGGAGTTTCTTTAAAGTAGGTCATAAGATCAGTTCCTTTCGAATTTATAATAAACTGTTTTCTATTATCAGTAACATACTA